GATCCGCCGCATGCGACGGCTGCGGCATGACCTAGTTTCGACGGACGCACTCTTCTACGGTCGACCGCTTGGTACCAGACTTACAGTCACCAATAGCTACGGTCACCGTTGCCCCTACACGGCTTAGGCGAAAAATCCAAGAACTTGGTGATCTCTTGACTAGGCTCCCAAAACTTGATTGAGAAAGGCCTTGTAACACACCTGAATCCATAGCTCTTCACTATGTCGATATGGAGTTCAATGGTGAAAGCGATTGGCGTCTTGGGATCGCTGACGGAACAACCAAGGGTCGTGTCGATCTCTTCCCATGGGACCATATCGGCCAACGTTTTTGCGGCAAAGGTAAATTCATTACTTGGATACTGAAATTCACAGGAAAAGTATAAAGTTCAGTGTTACACAGTTTATGAGCCATTCTATGGGCAGCTTGAAAATTGGCATCGATTACCAGCGCGTAAAATCGATATATTCATTCTATATTGCCCCAATTATGAGATAAGAATGAATTTTGAACAAAATACACATTCACTACCAAATTCTTGAAGATGTGAAATGATAGTTCTCCTAAAACTTACATTACGTTCAACGAATCGGTCACCATCTTTCTTTCGAATCACAAACTTCACATTGGCACCAATTCGCCATAGAGCGGATTTCAGCTGAAAAAAACTCAGTCCATCGACATTTTCGGCAATTTTCTGTTAATAAGAATAGGTTCAAATCTCTAAGGTACCTCCTAGGCATTTTTCATGTTTGACCAAAAAAAAAATTCGGTACCAACCAACCTTTGCACCACAGACAAGGGTGAACGCAATATGTGGAATACCCTCAAGAGCTCGCTTCTGCAATTTGAACACCCTGAAATGGGTAGGCAGTGAGAGCGATGCAGTGACTTAGGAGGAAAAAGTGGCAGACACTTTAATATACGATAATGAAAGAGTTTTCAACAGATCAGATCGATAGACGTGCGGAACTTTTTCTTCCTCTGCTCCACAAAAGAAATTATCAATTGGAGATAGAAGAGGTATACGCAACATTCAAGCGAACACCGCCCGAGCCCGCAAGTCGGGGGAAATTCGGGTCTATTGACTCATCAATACTACATAACCATAAAAACGAACAAAAACTCGAAAAATGCTCAGCAAAATGCTATTCCGGCAAGACCATATGTGGAACAAACACACCACATCTAAAGGCACTATCTAAAGGTCCCACTGTAAATGTTCTTTTTGCTGCGGGAGGCGATCTTTCCTGTTGAAGCGTTATTTCCTTTCCTGGTAAAAATTACTTTTGATTACCCTGGAATATATATGTGGCCTCCTCTTATACCGCATGTGTCAGGTCGGAAAACAGCCTAGATAGGGTGCTATAAGGGCTCAGATATTGTGTCGATCGAATACCACACCCATAGTGGACGAGTTTCAATGGTGTTGTACAGGCTGCATCAAGCACAAGGGAATCCATGTAGGAAGTGCAAACAACATCCCTTGAGACAGTCAAGGCAGTTTTGAAACAATTCGGCTTGAGGAAGTCAGCTCTTTGCGTAATTGCAACAATTGACATCTCGTCCAAATACCCCTTCCATAGCGTTTCCGTTATGGTAAACTCGTGCAACCCTAATCTTCATTACTTTTAGAAAACCTTTTTTTGCAAATTCGGCAGTTTTTTCGCTTTTTCTGCCTCCGATGCGCTACTCTCAACCATACCTTCG